AATCGTAGAAACTGTCAATATGAATATTATAGCGTATTTATGGAAAAAGTAGGCCATGTTAATATATGAAATTGCATAAGACAGTGACAAGACTTGCATAAAAATATTTTTTGGCAATTTAAATTTACACAGTAATTGCAAGTGCATTATGTAGTAAGAGGAGACAAGAAAAACAACAAAAAACACTCGGTTGTCTGAAAGATCGGTATCATCATCATTTCAGCTCGTCAATATTCACCTGCTGGACACAGGCCTCTCCCAAGGAATGCCACAAAACACTTTATTCAGTCACCTGCATCCATTGATATCCAGCATGTCTTCCGCCTTTCTTCATAACACCCTATAACGTTCTTCACAAAGCATGATCCTGTGCAACCATCGTCTTACCAGTTCGTCACTCCATCTATTGGGGGGTGGGGGGGGGGTGCCATACACTTCGCTTACCAGTACAAGATTGTACAACCAGTGCTTGTTGCCAGTGATAATGTCTTCACTGCTGGCCGTATGAGCAAGCTCAAGGTCGTTCAGCGAGCTATGGAGAGCGCTATGCTCGGGGTTTCTCTGCATGATAGATTTAAAATGAAGATATCTACAGTAGAACCAGAGTAACCGACATAGGCCAACGAGTTAGTAAGCTGAAGTGACAATGGGTTAGCCATATAGCTCGAAGAACCGGCAACCGATGGGGAAAAAAGGTTCTCGAGTGTATAATTAAATATGATTTAGATACACATTCCACATTGTGGGACATCCCTTGGTTATATAGAGTGACAATCAACGCGAGCCAGCTGCCGGTAACTGTATTTTTTTTTAATAGAAGTAAGTGTGACAAACGAGCAGTCAGTCCACCTGATAGTAAGTGGATGCTGTGGCTCATATACATCTAAATATATCCCTGATTAATAATTAAAATTCAGAAGCGTTGCTACTCCTGAAGACTAAGATGGAACACCTCGTTTCCAGTAAAAATGGTGTTTGGTTCCCAGCAGTCGCCATACCACGCTGGTATTCTGCGAGAGCGTGGACCTTCCCCGGTCGAGACCCATTCGTGCTAAAACCATAATATAGTTGGAGCATATCTCTACCACGTTAAAAATGGATGCGTGAAGCCGAAGACTGGGCTAAGTGGCGCGCCCTGTTAGAAGCCTATGTCTATGAGCCTATGACTACCGCAGGCTAATGACGATGATAATGTTTCTCCATATATGCCAGGCGTAAATTATCTAGACCGATGACGACGAGGAGCATCATAGGTGGTCTGGTATGGCGAACGCCAATAGGTCGGTCAAATGTGGCGATTATGGCAAACTCGTCTGGTCAAAGGTGGACAAAGTGCCCGTTTCTTGCCCTTGATTCTATAAAAATTATATACGCTAACACAGCGGAAGTTTTAACCAATGTAATTGTCAAATAACTGTTTACTTTGCCTTGGACACTTCCTTCAGCAATTGTCTGAAACGAGGTTTACACGCCTCTACCGCTGATTGTGGTGAGTCCGTACTTTCATCTTAATTGATAATCTGTAGTTGTATTATTTAACTACTAATATACAATTTTGGTGACAAAGTTTCTTAATTGTTACGAGGATACATAACTTATAAGTCTCTTTCATAGTAGGAGTTAAAAGATAATTGTTGCCTGGCTTTGTCGCAAAACTTCTTATCATGCAACTCTAACCTATTATGCGCGTGTTCGTGTATTGAACGAACTTCGGAATTGCGTTCGTATTCATCGTATGTTTCCGATTTTTGGAATTTACATTTAAGATGCCCATGGATATAATATCTTAGGATAATCATAATCATAATAATCATCATTGTCATTATTATCATCATCATCACCACCATCATCATCATCATCATCATCATCATCATTACAGCCCTTCACAAATCCACTGTTGAACATAGGCCTCCCACAAGTAATTGCACAAAGTATGTTCCTGAGCCACCTGCATCCATCGACTTCCTGCATATCTTATCAGGTCGTCACTTCATCTTGTGGGGGTCGCCCTACATTTCGCCTACCGGTACTAGGCTGCCACTAGAGAACCTTTTTCCCATTGGTTGTCCGTTTTTCGAGCTATATGGCCGGCCCATTGCCACGTCAGCCTTCTAATCCGTTGGGTTATGTCAGTCACTCCGTTTCTCCTGCAGATATCCTCATTTCTAATGAATTGAATATAAAGAAATATGATGAATTGCAATTTTAAATGTTTTACCACGTATATTCGTGCGAGAACTGAAAAATAAAGAGTAGTTAATCATGATTAGTTCAGATTCAATTAATCGTTAGCTGAGGGGCAAGGCGCTTGCCATAAATTTCACAGTACATGAGCGCCCCGTGTTTGATTCCCACCGGCAGCAGAGTAATTGTTAATTATACGTGCCGATTTATCACGTGCTCTACGATGGAGGAAAATATCATTAGGAAACCTGGATGCCTTAGTAATAACATATTTCGTAGGCAACTAAAGGCCGCCAGCTCGTACTGAAGCAGCACTGCGGATTCCATTCATTCATCCATTACAGTCTATTTGCCAGGAAGGATTTTGCCATACTTGCCACGTTTGACGAGCGGGTTGGCAACCGCAGTATTATTATTTTGAGTTGTTATCGGGAAGATGATGCTGCCCATCTCCTGGTTCAGTTTCCCTCTGTCGCCTCCTACGACAACCACGGGAAGATATGGGGTAGTGGATATTCTTACACCGCCCCTACATCGTTTACTGTGGATTAGGTTCTTCAAAAACTCTCGTGATGTAATTCGGGTCTTTGAACCTGCACGGGCACGAATGACATAATATTGTTAAATAGAGATGTAACACTAATTTCTCTTCCATTTCGTTTGGGGTGAGAAATAGATAAATAATTATTATTATTATGGGGTTTTTATAAAGTATTCTTATCTCCAAAAACGCTCTTATACGTGGCAGAGCCAGGCTGCAGCTATATTATGCTTGCAGCACGAGTGGGTTGGCTCGACCGGGGCAGGACCACTAAAATAGTAGCTTGACAAGTCACAGCAACATGTGTTTCGTATGGTGAGTGTAGAGAACCGGAGACCCTTTTTAGTGGAAATGAGGCATTCATCTTAGTGTGACAATAGTGGACTGTGTGCTCGTTTGTCACCCTATCCTATAACAAATGTGTCAGTTGTGTCCAGTTGTGTCGTGAGAGCAGAAGATTGCAATAATGTAAATAAAAAATGTATTAAGTATCTGATAAAAATGGGTCCCTCAAAATCTCTTATGGATCTCGCTTAAAATTATAAAAAATTTAATGGAAAATGTAAAGTTATGAGTTTTGGATTTGAATTGACGATACACCGATGTTTAGTATTGTGTCATAGTGCCCTGAGAGCAATAGTCACAGAGTGTGGCAATGGGCCACAGAGAATAGGATGGGGAGAAGTGTTTTCGAGCGGCAGTCTCGTATAGGTAAGCGTAGTGTAGGGCGGCCGTACACTAGCTGAAATGACGACCTTGTAAGACATGAAGGAAGTCGATGGATGCAGATTGTTCGGGACCGTGTTATGTGGAATTCGTTTACGGTGGTCCATGTTCAGCGGTGGTCTTTATGAAGGGTTGTAATGACGATGATCCTGTACCCAATTTTTCTCGTTCAAGCTGTATCGTATCGTATATGAACGTCACATAAAATAATTCTGCGTGTAATTGTGCACACACGAACGAAGTTAAACTTCTTTACGACATATCGTTCTCTTTTTATTTTGTTACTCATGTAGCCCCGGCGGTTAAACGTTATAAGAAAACGTTACAAGAAAACGGTACAACAAAAAGGTATGTTTTTTAAATACTATACTCAATTTCTACACTATGACGATAAAGAATTCTCACTTCAAAAGGAGTACGTGTGGTGGAGTCAGTTCTTTTTCTTTGTCACCGCGTAATAGTCTATGTACCTCTCCCATGCTACGGAGAGTTTGCCATAATCTCCATTTGACAAAGTGGTGGTGTTTTTTTAATTAAACCAATAATAGGGTTTAACTAAGATTTCAACTGTTATTAGTAAGACAGTAGATGATATGTAAATTTGCGAGACTATTATTATTATAGTCTATTCTAGCCACAATGGTCGATGAGGTATATACTATAGTGGTTAAATCAAAATGAGATATTTGTTTATCATTAAAGATTAATTTTATATACAGAAACATGACGAAATTTGTATTTGGAAGTTCATAAATATTATTAAGAATAAAAAGATATATTGCAAAACTTCATGTATTTTTTACCCAACTGCTACAGGAGGGTAATGTTGTTTGTGTATGTACATATGTGTCTATCTATTTGGCACGATTGGCTTCATCGGTTTCATGGATTTCAGCATATGAGATGTTTATTTTATATATTTTTTGATATACCATTTATATCTTATGTATTTAATTTCCATGTATAATAAAATTTTTAGTTATTTTACTTTAGTATTCTCGTATAAAATTTTACTACACCTACTTCATTCTATCTCTGCATCATCACAAGGTAGACTGGTAGAGAAGAATGTCTTAGGCAATAAGTCCGCATATATGTATACCATGTGTGTAAATGACGTTTTAAATAAATAAATAAAAAATGTCGTTGGATCCTAGTAGTGGAAGTGATATAGGTTATAAGATTTGAAGTTTTCTCTTTTATTATTGACATTTTTTATAGCAGATTACTTCAAAAACTTTTTTAAACTTAATGTTTTTTGATTTTACTTTTTTTACAAAAAAATTATTTCCTAGATAAAAAATTAAACAAAATATTTCGATAAAACTTAAAACGGTCGCGGTTCCTATCCATTTCAAATACGAGTTCTGGCATAAAATTTTCAAACGCAGTTCCAAAAAAGAAAAACAATCAATAACAAATCAATCCTAGGCATACGGTCAAAGCCAATAAAAAAAATAACAGGCCATTGACCCATTGGACAAGAGCGATGAGCGATCGCAAAATCCGCAGAATGCAGGTCGCTGCAGGCAGCGCTTCCGCGCCCCGCGGCACTCGCGTTCCACACCTCGCCGCGTCCGCACGGCATGGCCGCGCGCTAAACACGACAGTGCTGTGAAACGCGTCTCGAACGAAGCCACCATGAGCCGGTGAGTCCTTTTAATCAATCGAGCTTAGCCTGAATGACTCCCGGGGTCGACACAACTTGCAAATCGATTATAAAAACGATTGTTCCCTCGTTTTCTATTTGTTCGCAATTTTTTCATTTTATTCTTTTTTTTTTTTGGTGTTTACGCGTAAGTGCACATCTATTGTCTATTATCGTTTTGCAATTTGTATGGCTTTGATTAATTAAGTGTCCAAAATTAGTATGTTTTTTTGTCGTATTTTAACTCCTGATGTATTCCTTTAGTTAAAGGTAGTTTTTGCAATTAATTCTACTGGAAAATGTCTACGTAAAAATCATACATCATCATACTCTTAATGACCTTTTTTCTTCTAACTATATATATATATATATATATATATATATATATATATATATATATATATATATATATATATATATATGAAACTTATTTTTAATGAAAATAGATTCGGAAGTACGATCTAAAAGCTTCTATAGACACTAGGATTCTGTGGTCAAAATGAAGGCGTCCAATTTTAGGATCATTTTATTCAGGGGTGTCGGGATGTATCCTAATTACATGGTTGTCGAGATACCGTCGACCTGTCGCCGGCAAGGCTGCTTTGCACCGCACCGCGAATATTAACTAGTGACGCAATGACCTCTGCCTCGCTTTTTGCATAACTAAAATCACTTCGACAAATTGTATAATCGCCTAAGACGTTTAACGTCACCACTGATTCGTCGGAGTCACTAGCGCGCGAAATATGCATTAATGGTGCTGTGTTTGAACCTTGACTAAACCGATAATTCGTCGATAACTCCTCCGCGCTATGATTCGCTAATAACGTACGTTCAAATATAACCGCTTAGCTGGGTCACGTGTGAATTGTTTTTTTAGTTGAGAGGGCAAACGAGCACGCGGCTTACCTGATGATTAAACCTGGTGTGAAATTTGCTAGAAGATAGAGATACCATTTGTCAGAATTTTTACTAACATGTCATTACTTTAGGGCTCTTGTCAGGATTGCGGTTGGTTTATGGAAATGCCAGGATTTTTCGATTTTTCAACAAAATACAGTAGGTTTCTGCGAGGCAGTGGTGTCATCTACGATGTGGATTTATCACGAGAATGCACAAAATCAGTAATTGATTTGTTTGTTTTTTCACGCTTGTTAATTACGTTTGCAACAAAATGTCAGGACTTTTCTATGGAGAGTGAGGGAATACAGAGCGCACCTGTGCTTGTGCATACACTTGGGCACTATAATCCTGTCCTGTGCCGATGGCTAGTCTCCGTTCAGACTGGCCGCCGTGACCGAAAGACGATCTGGGGGATATTATTATTATTTCATGTATATATAGTAGAATAGTTCGTTTCGTTTCGTTTAAATAGGTGTACAGGTCGCTTATGCATAGTGTTGCCAACTCTCCGCCGTGGAATCCGCTAGACTGTAAGAACTAAATCCGCCAAATAACGCTACAATGAGTTTGTTCTTAAGTCGTTTTAATAATAGCCAGATTAAAGTTAAAAAAAAGATCTCTTAGAGGTTGCTATCTTGTAAAGGTACATCCCATCAAAGTCCTAATCATAGACAAACGAAAAGCAATTTTAAAACTGTGTTCAGAAATATGTCTATGCAATTTTGTAAGAATAATAATCTAGTGACATTTTTTATCATTCAAAAAATTGAAGATATCTAAAATGAGAGCGAAGTCGACAGAAATATCGCTAAAAATGTTAGTCGCTAAATTGAATTTTTCGCTAATTTAAACTGCTCCCTAAAGTTGTCATTTCTGGCGACAAAATCGCTAAGTTAGCAACACTGCTTATGCAATTAATATGGTATAATTTAGCGCCGGCGTTCATGCACGTGGAATACTAAACGAATTGAGAACACGGCACTTGCGTAATGTAATTGTCGGAGTGCAGGGAGAATCGCGAGTTGTCGCTTGTCGTCGCGTTGTGGCGTCCTGTCCTGTCCTGTAACGAGATTGCGACACTATGCGACTCTGTGGCATCACAATGAGCCCCGCGTGGCAACTGCACCAGAAGTTAATAACGGATTGATTAGAGACACAAAACCAATAGCACTTTTCAGTAAATAAAGGACAGAGACAGTGCGTAACTACGGTCAAATTTTCCGTCAGTCGCAAAGTCACTTCGTCTCTACCTAGAGCAATTATAGATATACCTAGCACTCCTTAATTTTTATATAAAAAAAGGTGAATATGACTACACAATACACCTAATAGTAAAAATATATTGTGCCATATAGATACCTCCATCTATTCTCGATTAAGAATCAAAATTTAGATGCGTCGTCATCCCTGAGTACTAACATAGAATGCCACGTTTCCAGTAAAAAGGGTCTCAATAATAGATTGATATAAGACACAGAGTCAATGGTACCTTTCAGCAAATAAAAATTATGGATAATATTTATCAACAGTCAAAGTTTCCATCAGTCGCATAGTGACTTCGTCTCTACCTAGAGCTCCTTTATCAATGTAATCTAGGGACATTAGATTGTATCACTTCTAATTCTTAGGGTGACTAATGAACTCCCAGTCCACCTGATTGTTTATTGGAAGGTGTGAACATAGACTTATACATCTATCCTCGATTAAGAATAAAATTCAAATCGTTTGTCACCCATGAGGAACTAGGATACAACGCCTCGTTTACAGTAAAAAGAATCTATCAAAATTTTTAATAACGGTATATATCTTTTGTTAAAGAAAAAAAAACAGGTCCATATAAATGGGTTGCTCGGGCCGGGTTTATAAACCGGGACCAATGATCAGCAGTTGAGCTTACGAACACTAGACCGATTGGACAGTTAGAATACAAAGGTCGAGCTTACTCTAAGTTAGTCTATGAGTAATTGAGTTGGTATCTACTGTATAGGTTTCTTTCGCAACAAAGTGTAAGCTATTCGATAGCATGACTAATTTATTTAGTTTTTGCTACGTAGGTACAATTACTTTTATTTGACGAAAGTCCCACGATAGGGAGTATAAAATATGGCGTAAATGTACTCGTATGACTCTGTCAACATCATCGTTAAAGCTCCGCACAATCCAGCTCAGTCCTCAGGGGTAACAACGTATTTACATTTTGATTCTCAATTGAGGATAAATGTACATGTTTATGGGCCACAGCATCCATCGGGTGGACTGTGTGCTCGTATGCCACCACTGTTAGCACTCACTCTTCTATGTTCATGGACATGTGATAGGTTCTGTTAATTTAAGTAATATAATTTGCTAACGTTAATGTACACATTTAATTAGATGTTAGGTAAAATTTTTGAAGCATATAGTTTAATTATACTTTGTGCATTAAATACCTAATATTTTTTATAGAAGTAAGGTTTAGTGATGAGCACATAATCTAATTGATGGTAAGTAAATGCAGTAGCCCATAGACACCTACATCTATCTTCGACTAAGCATCAAAATCCAGATGCATTGTCACGAGAATTTTAATGTGGTCAAGAAATTGCGATCACGGCGGCCAGTCTCAACGGAGAGTAGCCAACTGCGGAGGGCAGGATTAAAATGCACGAGTGTATGCGCAAGCAAAAGTGCACTTTCTATGTCCTCCCTCTTATATGCCGATGGGACTACAATTTGACACGACTTAAGAGAGATTACCTACGTCTTCACATGCTTTCAAAGGCATAGGATTAAAAAACTACGGCTGCTAATGCGATCTTCTTGACAGAAAACTCAATAACTGATTTTGGCCCGCCCCGGGATTCGAACCTGTGACCTTATGATCTGCAGTCACGCTTACGACCACTAGATCATTGAGACAGTCAACCCTGAAATATCTAGTTACCAGTAAGAAGGGTCTACAGTTCTGTTCAAAGCTGCAGCGTAGCTCTACCCCGTAACACATTGATGTGTGATATAAGAAAACCCTATATTAAAACAGTATTTAAAAAAAACCCCGACTGCGTAGAAATGTTCATTGAAAAGCATTGAGTTATATGTACTACGTAATAGAGAAGCTATTCCAAACAAAAATTGTGAACTACTCTGTCTTCGCGCATGCGCGGGAGATAGTAGAGTCGCGCATGCGCAAAGACTAATTTTTATATATAAAAATTACGTGTCACATTGTTTGTCCGCGATGAACTCCTAAACTACTGAACTGATTTCAATGAAATTTTGTACACTTTGTGCAGTTTGGTCCAACTTGAGAGATGGGATAGTTTTTATCCTGATAAGTACACTCAATATTTTTTTGATAAGGATTTTTTATATGAAGGATCGTCGAAAAGGGCAGAACAACGTCTGCCTGGTCAGCTAGTTTCATATAAAATAAGATATTAATATAAAATAAATATAAGAATTTAATATAAAATACTCCTATTTTAATCTAAACAAAAATATTTCTAAATAAAATGTAATAATAAATATCTTATGGAATTCACACATCTTCAATTTACGCAATATTTAGTTTAGTGTACGGATTGCAGTACAGTTGAGTTGAACAAAGTCAATGTTCGGAATGCGAAATCTAGTGCATAGTACATATACATCGAAGACTGAAAAGAGAAAAATTTTGTAGCCTATGTCATTCCCATAATTAAGACCATTCAAACGACACTTCATATGTTAAAATCTTTTAAGCTTTTTAGGTTGCAGAGCATGTCAAAGAAATAGACATACATACATACTCACGAAAGACACTACCCTCCTTCTGGCGCAGTCGGGTAATAAATCTATATCTATACTCTACAGAAATAGAATTGAAGTGTCTTGTTTGTAATGACAACTTTTTACTAAATGTATATGAAAGTATATACGGTACTAATAACAAAAAAAAAACATTTTTAAAAGTTTTATTGTCTGTCTGTCTGTCCGTCTGTCTGTCTGCCCGCCCGTCTGTCTGTCCGTATGTCTGTCCATCTGATTGTTTCGGCTAATCTCCAAAACGGCTGGACCGATTTTGGCGGGACTTCCACTGGCAGATAGCTGATGTTATAAGAAGTAGCTTAGGCTACTTTT